GCCCAGGCGGGTCTCGAACCCGCAGGCTCAGGCAATCCACTCACCTCGACCTCCCAAAGCACGGGATTACAGGCTGAGCCACTGAGCCCGGCCAAGACCTTGTTTCTACAATAAATAAATAAATAAATAAATAAATAAATTAGACGGGTGTGGTAGTGCACGCCTGTAGTTCTGGCTACTTGGAAGCCTGAGGCAGAAGGATCGCCAGAGCCTAGCAGGTCGAGGCTGTGGTGGTCCGGAGACCCTGCACTCTAGTCTGGGCGACAGAGTGAGACTCCAGAAAAAAAAAAGGAACTCATCATAGAAGCTGAACTTGGTGGCTAGTGCTTATACAGCTACTTGGGAGACTGAGGTGGGAGAACCACTGAGTCCAGGAGATTGAGGCTGTAGTGCATAATGAATTTGCCTGTGAGTAGCCACTGCACTCCAGCCTGGTCAACATAGTGAGATCCTGTCTTTAAAAAATAAATAAATAGGCTGGGTTTGGTGGCTCATCCTATAATCCCAGCACTTTGGGAGGCCGAGGCGAGTGGATTGCCTGAGCCCGTGGGTTCGAGACCAGCCCGGGCGAGACCTCGTCTCTACAATAAATCAAAAATTAGCCGGGCGTGGTAGCATGCACCTGTAGTTCCAGCTACTTGGAAGGCTGAGGTAGAAGGACTGCTGGAGCCCAACAGGTCGATGCTGGGGTGGTGGTGAGCGTGCCACTGCACTCTAGCCTGGGCAATGGAGTGAGACTCCAGCTCAATAAATAAATAAATAACCCATCATATACTGGGGTGCCAACAAAATATATACAAATTTTAAGAGATGTTTGCTATAACCAGAAGTATCTGGACACTGATGGTAACCACATTGAGCACCTCTTCTAACTGCAGAAGTCAAATGTGACTTGTATTCATCTTTTGTTATCAGTATATATTATTATAATTTTAATACGGTTTTTTCCTTTCTTAAAATGTATACATTCTTTTGGCATTCTCTGTATATACCAGGCAGTAGTAAACATTCTCAGTCCTTGCCTCAGCTCATTCAGTCCCTAACAGGGTGGATAGCAATAGTAGTGCCCATGGGGCCAGTCCAGCACTTCGCAGCAGATAAAGAGATGTAAGATGCAGTTATTCTTCTCAAGAGTTTGTTTTCCTGTTGGTAAAACGAGACTCATATATGAAGCACTTAAAAATGTAAAGATGATGCATTGATGAACTAGAACAGATCTAACTCCCGGAGCACCTAGGGGGCTATGGAGAAGTTGGTATTCCTGTGGCCTAGGCCCTAGAAGGATGCTGGAGACTTGACAGGTGTCATGGGCCCTTGCATGAGTAAAAACTGAGGGGAGCTCTGAGTGGGACTTGCTGAAGGGATCTGTGAGTCAGGGCAAGAAGCTGGGCTGTATCGTGTGCACAAGGTCCATGGAGAGTTTCTGAAAAGAGAAGGATGGAGATGGTGTCTTGGGAATACTGATCTGGGCTAGTGCATGAAGAATAGAAGGGATAGGCGACTTGGCCTCCCTGGAGTCAGGATAGAGATCATGGGCGGGGAGGTTTGGAAAGAGGCAGCTACAGAAGGGACATTGTTAAGGAAAACTCTGTAGGGTATGGTGATTGGCTACCTGGGAAAATACTTTCCTCTAATAGCCTATTTTTCTCAGTTTTGTTGCATTTGTTTGTTTTTTTGTCTTGTAAGAAGATTCAAACTAGATTTATTTTTTTATATAGGCCTGAATAGAAATAATTAGACCATTGCTATGATCCAATAAAAATCTCAGTAAATATTAAAAATATTTAAAACCAGCCAGGCTCATGCCTGTAATCCTAGCACTTTGGGAGGCCAAGACAAAAGGGTTGCCTGAGCCCACTCTTTGTCTCTCACCAAGCAACAAATTTGGACTGAATTAAGAGAGAGTGGCCCTGTGTGGCAGTTCCTGGGTAGTTGTATCCTTCTCCCTTTAAAACAAATAACTAGAGTTGCCATATTCCTGGATACCTCCAGCCTCCAGGAGATTGAAAGACACACATACACATACCCTAAAGTACCTGTTTGTCATGCTTTTTTGCCATCTCTCCACCACCTGGGGTGTCAGCTGTGCTTCAAGGGTCTTCATGCCAGACAGCTTATGTGGGACCACAATGAGCATGCTAATACCCCCCACATACTCCAGCTGAAGGACATCACAGTCAAGCTCCTGGTCATTTGCTGCAAGAAAGTTTCCTTTGGTCTGCATCATGGAAACCTTGACCACCTCTCGCTCATTTAGTCGGAAGTTGTGGTTGTGTGTCATTTCCACTGGGAATTTATTCACCCAAGATCCTGTAAAGTCCACAGGGACAGGCTGTCATGAGAATGTTTCTTGAGAGCAGTGGTCCCATCCTTGAGCATGCATCTGAGTCTCTTAGAGGTCTCGTTCCAGCAGCCTGCTGGGCCCACCCACAGTCTGATTCCTGAGGTCTGATTTGGGCTGATAATTAGCATTTCAGGCAGGCACAGTGGCTCACACATGTAATCCCAGCACTTTGGGTGGTTGAAGTGAAAGGACTGCCTGAGCCCAGGAGTTCAAGACCAGCCTGGGCAACTTGGCAAGACCTTATCTCTACAATAAATCCAAAATTAGCCAGGCATGGTGGCTTTCACCTATAGTTCCAGCTACTTGGAAGAATCACCTGAGAGTTGTGAACATGCCACTGCACTGCAGCCTGAACAACAGAGTGAGACTTCGACTCAAAAATAATACTTATAACAATAATATTAACAACTAGCATTTCTAACAAGAGTGGTTAACAAGAGGGTAAATGAACTGGAAGGGATTCTGGATTAGAGTCTGACACTGGCTAGTTGTTTGACCTTGGCAAGACACCTGACTTGCCTGGCCCTCTACTTCTTCATCTGTCAGATAAGTAGCTTTGGGGTTCTTTCATCTCTGTTTTGATGACTTTTGTTCCTCACACTGTGATCCCACAGTGACAAATAGGACATGTGGGTGATGCCATGTTGCCCTTGAGATCTTCCCTATAAATTTGGGCACCATGCCTTGTATCCAGAAATAAGTCCATGTCTGTCTTAGCTCTAAGATGTGAGTAACTAATGATAGGTGACCAGCAGTTGAGAACTGGCCAGATGCTAGGCATTCTTCTAGGCACCTTTCCTGTATTACCTCATTTCTGCTCCTGGCAACATATGAAATATGTGCTTTTGTTGTCCCCATTTTATGGATGAGAAAGCAGGCACAAAGAAGTGAAGTAACTTGTTCAAGGTTTCTAACTGGTGAGTAGAGCAGGTAGGATAAGATGAGCAAGAGGTGTTTGGGGCCGGGCGAGGTGGCTCAAGCCTATAATCCCAGCACTTTGGCAGGCTGAGGTAAGGAGATTGCCTGAGCCCACAAGTTCAAGAATAGCCTGGGCAACTTGGCGAGACCTCATCTCTACAATGAATCAAAAAATTAGCCAGGGATGGTAGCGTGAGCATGCCACTGCACTCCAGCCTGGGCAACAGAATGAGACACCACCTCAAAAATAAATAAATAAAATAAAATGTTCATTGGGAGGAGCTCCTGCCTACCTGTGAGAGTTTTTGGGCTTCCTTCTCCCTACCTCTGCCTCACCCAGGGTTTCTCAACCTCAGCACTATTGATGTTTGGGTCAGATAGTTCTTCGTGGTAAGGGGAACTATCCTGTGCATTGTAGGTCATTTAGCAGCATCCCTGGCCTCTCCCCTCCTAGATACCAGTAGTAGTGCATCCCCTAATCCTCATGTTGTGACAACCACAAGTGTCTTCAGACCTTTGCCCTAGGGCATGGGAATCACTGCTCTTCTTAGTTCTGATGAAACTATCATGTCTTCTGGAATTCTTTCCTTCTGACTCCTCTCAAAGTTCACTCTCTATTTTATTGTACTTTACAAATTGGTTATAACATTCAAAATTAGGACCAAACTAGTAATGGAAATTTTGGAGCTAGAAAATAAAACCACACTTCTATACACTCCTCCCCTGTGAGAAGCACCCATGAAAGATTACGTGCTCCTGGCATTTGATCCCTCTGAGTCCCAGCATTGAATTAAGTGACCAGTTTAGTATGATACCAAAAGGAGACACACATGTTTTTGCCACTTATACACTATAGTGTAACACGGATTACTACAGTTAGAAGACTGTAAACTGTCCATGCCTGGTTGTTTCTCCACCCTCATGCCGGCAGGGATGCTTGCTGCTACAATCTCCACCTGGCCCCATGCCCTTCCTTGCACACCAGGCCAGGGCTGATGCAAAGGCTCTTGGGTGTACCTGGGGGCTCTGACAGACTGGTAGGATCAGAGGCATTGGTGTTGCCAACATGTCTTACACTGGCCTGTTCCAAAGTCATTCCTAAACATGGGCTATTTGCTTATAGAAGTAAAATAAATGTCACTAGCAATATCATACATACTTCATATTATACCAATATTGTAATCTGCACTTTCACTCAGTCAAGTTCATTGAGCTCTCACCCACTGCCACGCTATATTGCATCACTCTCTTATGGTTCTCCTAACAACCTTAACAGAGTAGATGTTATCTCCATGATGAAGACAAGGAAACTGAATCACAAAGACATTGAAGGACTTGCCCAGAGTCTCACAAGTGGGGAGTGGTGAAGCCAGGTTTAGATTCTTATTTGCTCAATTACAAAACTTGTGCTTATAACCAGTAATAAAAAGGATGCATCTGTGTTCACTGTGTATATATCATATCTGTGTGTGTATCTGCCACAAGCCTGTTAGAGCTCAGTCTTTGATTTCACCCATAAGAGGCTGGCATTCTGCCTAGTTTTAGGGTGGCCCAGAGATCAGATCTCAGCACTGTAGGCCATCCATCACCATGGATGGTGAAAAAGTTCTATTTGGTCCATCTAGCAGAATACCTACCTTCCAGAGCTACAGGGGCCTTAGCTGAGGCATCTAGCAGGTATAGTGGCAGGTTGGGAGGGGCTCTGGCTTCCCTTTCCCCAAGCAAAAGCCAAGAGAAGACCCCTGCCCTTTGTATTACTGGGTTGCTGAAATCTGCTGGGGCTAACTAGTGGGAAGGACTGGCCCCCAAGGTGCCAGGGGCTGCCCATTGCTGGTACCTGGTAGTCCTTGGTGGCAAAGAGAAAGTAGCTGTATGTCACAGCTATTAGTCTTGAAGCTGAACCATTCCTCATGTCTACCCTTCAATAGTTTAGAGAGTGAAGTAGAGGTTTCTTCTGATCAGGTCCCAGAGAGGACATTTGAAAAGAGGGGTCTGAATTTCGCAAATCAATGCTCCTTTATTCCTAGGATTCCAGGAGTCCTGTGTGTCTACTGGTGGGAGGTGGGGGGTGGGAGGTGGAAAATGCTTCTTAAAAAATGCCCTCATGCCTGGCCCAGAACAGTTGCTTGAGAAATAGTAGTTTATCTCCCCACCCCCACCTGTCTATCAGTACTGAAAAACAAGTGTAGGTGTTGATGGCAGTTACTCAAGTGGGGTAGTTCTCAGACACATCTTTTGTCCGTATTTCTGCTAATTGATAATTGGGAAAAGAAATGAAAAAACTCAAATCCATTAGGTCCAGATACTTAAAAGCTTTTTTGTATTATTTCTTGTATTTCAGCAAATCACTAGTGATGGCCTACTTGGGTCCAGCCTTGGCTCTGCTCCTTCGTAGCTGTGTGTGCTTAGAGCGTCCTTTTGTTTCTTTGTGCCTTGGTGGTTGCCTCTGTAAAATGAGGACACTAATAGCAATGATGATCTCACAAGGTTGTGGTGAAGATCCACTGAGCATAAAGCACTGTCAGCCACTGCTGTCACCTCAGCATACCCTTCCCTGTCCTTGTCCCTTGTGTCTTGTTTTCCTGCATAAGTTACAGTGAGAATACAGTTCTTAGCCTACTCACATACTAAAAGAGTATGTTGTAAGTTGCTTTGAGAACTGTGAAACTGTTTCCTTACCTTTGAAATAGATGCAGTTGAGAATCATCATCTGAGTAGAAGGATCTATATTCTCCAGAGCATCTTTGATGAGGCCCTTGGTTAGCTTCAGGATGTGGTTGTTGGTTTTCGATATGAAGGCAGGGTCTGAGAAGTCAGCCGCTTGGGCCTCAGCAAAGTAGTACTCTCTCACTTTGGTTTTGAAGTCATCCAGGATTGGAAACTGCTTCTGGACGTATAGGTCATTGACTGACCGCAGCGTGTACCCAAAATTCCTCCTGAAGAGGCGATGAGTCAGCTTACGGAAGAGATTATGAATGGTCATGACCTCATACTTGCTGCTAGCATTCACAAAGTCTTTAAAATGCAAAATTGAGTGTACTTGTTCATGGGTCTCTCCCTTCAGACCTAGAGAAATCATACCCATCGCAGTAGAAATACCAACGGGTGCTATGAAGATATTATCAAAAGTGTTGACCTGGTCTCTCAGTGCTCGGTAGAGGTTAAAAGCGAACTTGGCATTGAGGATGTTAAGACGCTGGATCCGGCTCTTGCCATGGAAAAGCTGAAGGATGTTCCCAATATTCACTTCAGAGTCTGTCGGGGAAACAGGCAGACTGTCAATGATGTAGATGTAGTCATCATCTTCATTGAATATCTTCTCCAGGTCTAGATAGTCATCGTCCTCCTCCCCCTCTGGAATCCAATCATTGGTGACTGTGTTTTCCTTGTGGAAGTCAGCAGGGAGAAGGGGAATGCTCAGGTTTTTATTATTCAATTGTTCCCATTGGGGATCTGCAGACTTAACCATTTCCCCTGCTTTCTCAAGCTGATCCAGCAGGCCTTTGCTACCTCCGCACACAGATGTTATGATGAGGGAAAGGAGAAGCAAGTGGAGCGGGTGTTTCATTTTGGCAGAGCTAAAGCTGGGAGAGAAAATAGACCACTCTGTGAGAGGCAACCTGGCTTACCCCCACCCCACTGCTGTGTCCACATGGCTGATTCCCTGTGGCTTTGGCCCAAGAAGAGGCTCTCACAGCATCAGTTCTTAACTGTTTTAGAATTATGGACTTTAAGAGAATCTGATGAAGATAAGCAGACACCTAACATTTGGCGTGGGCTTCATAAACCTCAGAGGCTCCGTGGGTCCCTAGAGGAGAATCTCTTCTTTAAATATTAAATATTTACAAAACTAACCTTTTACAAACCTGGGCAATCAGGGGTTTGGCGGGGGGGGGGGGTTCTTTTTTGTTTATTTACCAAACCTTGTATCCCACCTCCAGACAATAAATTAGGCACTAGAGACACAAAGGTCCCCCCGACTGGGAGTCACAGATTCTTTGTGCAGTAAAGTAGGGGGCAGACATGCAGTAAGGTGAGAACTCTCAAAATAATGCTGTCTAAACATCTGAGAGTGCAGAAAGGGCTGTGGCTGTGGCCTACCCTGTGTAGTAGGAGTAACTGCTCAGAAAATCAGAGAATCTTCACTAAGATGTGGGCTTGAGTGGGTGTCTGTGGCTGGGGACTGGAGTGGGGTGCCAAAGGGGATGTCCAGTGGAGGGACTTCGCCCTGCCGTTGGGACCCATACTACTCCACCTTTGCGATGAATATGCTGTTAATAAATGTGCAGGGGCCAGACTTTCTGAAAACATACATTTTAAAGGTATTTGAAATTTGTTTAGTTGTTTGGTGTTGTTTAAGGTGCATAACATTGTCTAATGCGGGGACCCCCCTCAGCTTAGTGAGATATGGCTGGTGGCATCCCCAGAGTATATTAGGTTCTGTGGCCTGCTGCCATAGGTATACTTTTTTCTCCTTTGTATCTGTTAGACAGTGGCTACCACTGGTGTCAGGAGGAACTCAATCTTTTTTACATTACTGCTTCTAACACAGGGTTAGAAACAATCTGGACAGGTGGATAAGGTCTTTGTGAGGTTGATGTCAGAAAGTTCTTACTCAAGGCCTGAAGGGCACTCCCATTTATGTAAACAAGGTAAGTTTTTAACAAAGAAACCTTGTGATAAGCCTGTCTTTATCTATTCCTCCCCTGCCTTGTTCCAGGGAGGATTTAGCTTGGCTTGCCAAATGCATTTTGGCTGCCAAATGGCTTTGTATTTTTCTTGCTTACTTCTAGTTATTAACTGCATTCTGGGTAGAGTAGCTGCTATTTGATGCTTCCATGTTTTACAAGGACAGTTGCTGTAGGTGTTTTATAATCCTGACCTAGACAGGTAGTACATGGTCCCAACTTTTGATCACTCCCCCCCAAAATACTGTGTTTTGTTAAGTTTGTTGTGTGCTTCTGACCATTTCCCGTTAGATTTTTGAGGGTCAGAATACCTGCTGCCAATCTAGGCCAGATAAGAGTTACTGGTTCCTGTTAAGCAAATATTTGAACTTGTTAGGCCTGAAGATGGGACTGACTGTTCCTATGTGAAATCCTCAATTTTGTTCATGTTGATAATGGCAGCGACTGTGGATGGAACCTCTGTGGGGTCCCTAGTGCTGTACAAGGCATGTTGTATAACTCAACTTCATCCTCCCAGCATTTTACGTATCAGGAGACTGAGCCTTTTGTTGCTGTTGCTCATAAGTAGCAGTAACTAGATTCCAGCCAAGTTGGTTGAGCTCCCAGACCCCCATGTCAAGTGCTCTGCCTTGTTTGCCCAGAGTGACAGGATGCTCCCAGACCATCCAGGCATGGGGAACAGCTTCTTAGCTGGTTTCCCTGCAGCCAGTCTCCTTTCTGGGTCTATTAAAATAATCAGCTGTAGTACTGTTAGTACTGTTAAAATAATCAGCTTGAACATCGTTTTAATCACAACTGAGAGACTTTTGAATTGCACATTTTGGAAAAGAAAAGTCACATAAGTTTCTGAATTTGAAAATGCCTGTTGTAGCTGGGCTCAGTGGCTCACACCTGTAATCCCAGCACTTTGGGAGGCAGAGGTGAGAGGATTGCCTGAGCCCAAGGTTTAAGACCAGCCTGGGCAACTTGGGGGCCTTGTCTCCACAATAAATCAAAAAATTAGCCGGGTATGGTGGCACATACCTATAAGTTCCAGCTACTTGGAAGACTGAGGCAGAAGGATCACCTGAGCCCAGCAGGTCAAGGCTTCCATGGCCATGAGTGTGCCACTACACTCCAGCCTGAGTGACAGTGAGAATCTAACTCAAAAAAAAAAAAAGAAAAAGAAAAAGAAAACGTCTGTGGCCTTCTCTGACCCTGCCTCTTAGCACCTCTCTGAGGCTACAGTGTGACCTATGCACATAGTCTGCACGTGGGAACAATTTCTAGAAGTGATTTTTAACGTGTGGCTGCAAATAGAGCTGGGCCCAGTTTCAAAATAGAATCAGGCATTGCTATTGATGGCGATACACTTTAAAAAGTTAGAAGAAAAGAAAGTAAGCAACATAGTAGAAGGGTCCTTACTCGACTGTACCTTAAACTGTCCTCAGATAAAAATAAGGTTAAAGAACAAAACAAAACCACCTTGAATAAACAAACATTCAGGAAAATAAATCTGACACCATATAGGGTAGGAGGTTAAAGACATTCACGTTTTTATCTTGGTATTCAGAGAGTATATTATATTTAGAAGCTTCTTACATTGTGCTCCTATATTATATGATGAAAAACCAAAAATAGTTTTCATTATTCCCTTACCAGAGAAAGGAAAAATTTGTCTCTGAGATATAGATATACATTTTCTTTTCTTTAATTGGGCTCTACTTTGTTACCCAAGCTGGAATGTAGTGGTATAATCATGTCTCACCATAGCCTTGACTTCCTGGACTTAGGCGATCCTTCCACCTCAGCCTCCCAAGTAGTTGGGACTACAGGCATGTACCATCATGCCCAGCTAATTTTTTGATATTTTTGTAGAGATGAGATTTTGCTGTGTTGCCCAGGCTGGTCTGGAACTCCTGAGCTCAAGCAGTTCTCTCATCTCTGCCTTCCAAAGTGCTGGAATTACAGGCATGAGCACCACACCTAGCCTGTCTCTGATATTTTTTATGGATTTGAATGAAGGATCTAAAAGGTAAATTTTCCTTTTTTGAGTTGAAATCTCACTCTGTTGCCCAGGCTGGAGTGCAGTGGCATGCTCACGGCCACTGCAGCCTCAACCTGCTGGGCTCAGGTGATCCTTCAGCTTCATCCTTCCAAGTAATTGGAATTACAGGCACACGCCACCACGCCTGGCTAATTTTTCTTGTATTTATTGTAGAGATGAGATCTCACTAAGTTGCCCAGACTGGTCTTGAACTCATGCGCTCAAGTGAACCTCTCACCTTGGCCTCCCAAAGTGCTAGGATTATAGGCATGAGCCACCGTGCCCAGCCTCGCTCTTTTTTTTTTTTGCTAACAAAAATTAAATAAGACATTTTAAAACTATCACTAGATTGTGATTTAAATTCAGATTACCCTATTTGAAGAGAAGCAATATTTTTGTTTTTTAAAGATAAATCATTCAAAAGTTTTGTTTTTTTCTGGAAACTTCATAGGCACTTTCTTGATAATTGCACAGAGCTGGGTTAGCCTTTTCAGTCATGCATCAGAGTATAACACCAAAAGACCGTCATCCCTCCTGGTATATTTTCTCCAGGATCAAATGGAACTGGAACAGGCAGAATGGAAGAGCAGTAACTGCCTGAAGTTTGGAAAACTTCTTATTTTGAAATAACTTCAAACTTACAGAAAAGTTGAAAGACTACTGCAGTAGAACAACCCATGTATACCTTTTACCCAGATTCACCGCACACAGGCACACATGTACAGATTTTTTTCATGGACCATTTGAGAGTAGGGCTCTTATGTCCTTCTAACCTTTAATACTAATACTTCAGGGAGAAATGCCTAAGAGCAAGGATACTCTTATATATAATCACAGGAGAAGTATCCAGTTTCATTCATTTAATATAGGCACAATACTTTCATCCATTCTACAGTTCCTATTCTGATTTTGTCATCTGTCCCAATAATGTAACTGACAATCTTATAATAGGCAGATTGAAAAATAACATTTCCCACTTCTAAGGCAGTATAGAAATCTCCTCAGCTTCAGTTTGTAGTTCAATAGAGAAACAAACCAGTTTCCCATCTCTAAAAACCAGCCACAAATGAGAATTTATAATTGGCAGAAATGTTAGAAACCAAACTTACCTCTTAGCTTCTGAGAAGTGGTACTGCAGAGATGGAAGCAACCAAGGTCACCAGCAGGGTTTCTATGTGAACTTTGGTGCTGGGCTGTTGGTGCATATTTTCAAAGTAAATATGTTCCAATCCAAACACCAGGCAACTAGCTTGGTCAGCACAAACCCCCTCAACTGTGCCTTTGATCACTGCTGAGTGACTTGCGACTCCTCAGCTTCAGTTCTTATGTAGCTGATATTTTGAGTATATGATGATGGTCACTGTGTTGACGTGCACAGACATCTTGGCTTAGGAGCAGCCCTTGCTGAGGTCACCACATACCTGAGACACTTTTCACAGGTCACTGGGGGCCAGGTACATTCAAGTAGCAGTAATGCTTCCCCAAAAGTAGAGCCACACATCTGCCTGCAACTGTGCCATCTCCCTCTGCAGTGTTCACAGCATCTGCCCTAGCCCTGGTCTCCAGGGCTCAGTGTCTAGCTTGGATAGTAGGCAGGTGTCCCCATCCTTCCACATACTTGTTCCTCTGTGAAAAGTGGAGGGAGGAAAATTATATTAGTAGCTTACAGAATAAGAAGATTGTACTATGGGCCTTTCTTCAGTCAAGAGTTCAGAATGTATAGCCCAGAGGCTGCGTGCAGTGACTCACACCTGTAATTCCAGCTCTTTGGGAGGCCGAGATGGGAGAATTTCTTAGAGGCTAGAAGTTTAAGATCAGCCTAGGCAACATAGTGAGACCGTATCTGTACAAAAAAACAAAAAATTATGTGGGCATGGTGGTACGTGCCTGTAATCCCAAGCTGCTCAGGAGGCTGAGGCAGGAGGATTGCTTGAGCCTAGGAGTTTAAGACTGCAAAGAGCTGTGATCATGCCACTGCACTCCAGCCTGGGTGACAGTGAGAAACACACACACACACACACACACACACACACACACACAGAGCCCAGCTCCTGTCCATGAGGATGGATAGGGATATTAACTAAACTCAAGACCACTCAGACATCCACAGGGATATGTGGAGATAGCATAAATTTTTTAAGAACTGTTTTTAGTTTTATAATCTCAAAAATTATAAGAATCTTCTGGATTGTCTGGAATTATTACAGAGCACTGCTCCCTGGTTTTGGTACCTGAGAGCATGTTTAGGAATGTCAGCACCCAGGGACCATCTGAAGGGAGAGCAGTCAAGAAAACCTGCAGGGTGTGCAAGGGGCCTGTGAGGGTGTCTGTTGCTCCATTTGAGAAATTCCAGAGTGTAAAGAGCCATTGTGTTCAGAAAAATGATGGGTGGTTGGGTTTGAGCCTGGTTTAGCATTCTAGCTCTGATCAGAACTGTTTTCTCAGAGCCTCTATCTGTCCTGCTCAGTACCAAGTCTTCAGCATGGTGCTATCATGCAGACTTAGAGAGGTTGCTGCCTGTGCCCACACTCCTTCTCAGGGCCTACTCAGCCCTACAGGATCTACTCCTGGCCAGCTCCATCATTTTGTGTCTTGTCTTCACACATGTTCTCTCTCTGAAAGAACCTTGGTACCTGTTGTTTTTTCTGCTTAGGCCATCTTCCTCCAGGCTGACATGGGCCCGCCAGTCTCACTGTTCCTCTCAGCTTACCTGAGGCCACCCTGGCCATACCAGCCAAAATCTCACCTCCTGCGTCTAGCTCTCAGTATTCTCCCCTCTGAAGTGTGGGTGATCATTACATCTACGGTGTAAGGTTGTTGTGAAAACTAATAATATAATGTGTGGAACCACATAGAGTGGTGTTGGGCATGCAGTAATTACTCAGGAAATGTGAGCCCTCATTTTTCATAGTACTCAGATTCATTCACAGAAAAGGTTTGGGAGGAGACCCAGTGTTTGTTTTTTATATACTTCTATATACTTCTTTGTTGGAATGTTGATTTTTTTTTTTTTTTTAAGTTGGAGTCTCACTCTGTTGCCCAGGCTGGAGTGTAGTGGCACGCTCACAGCCACCACACCTCAACCTGCTGGGATTAGGTGATCCTTCTGCCTCAGCCTTCCAAGTAACTGAAACCACAGGCTTGTACCACCACACCCAGCTAATTTTTTAAAAATTTATTGTATAGATGAGGTCTCACCAAGTTGTCCAGGCTGGTCTTGACTCAGCAGTCCTCTCACCTCCGCCTCCTAAAGTGTCAGGATTACAGGCATGAGCCACTGTGCCTAGCTAGAATTTCTTTTATTGCTTTTTTTTTTTTTTTTTAAGTTGGAGCCTCACTCCATCAACCTATGCTGGAGTGCAGAGGCATGCTCACGGCAACCCCAGCGTCGATCTGCTGGGCTCAGATGATCCTTCCACCTCAGCCTTCCAAGTAGCCAGAACTACAGGCACTCACTACCACACCTGGCTAATTTTTTTATTTTTATTTTTTAACTGTAGAGCTGAGGTTTTGCCAAGTTGCCCAGGTTGTTCTCAAACACGTGGGCTCAGGTAATCCCCTCACCTCGGCCTCCCAAAGTGCTGGGATTACAGGCTTGAGCCACTGTGCCCAGCCACTTTTGTTATTTTTTATTTTTTTAATTCTTTTGAGTTGAAGTCTCGCTCCGTCGCCCAGACTGGAGTGCAGTGGCCGCTCCTGGCCACCGCAGCCTCGACCTGCTGGGTTCCGGCAATCCTTCCGTCCAGCCTTCCAAGTAACCGGAACTACAGGCGTGCACTACTGGCCACACCCAGCTAATTGACTTTTGTTACTTTTAAAGCCAGTAGCCAGTGATGTTCCCTGCATACCAAGATTTCTGATCATGTAGCTCCTATTGAAAACGCTGGATCTCAACTCTTAAAATGACATTTTTTAGTCAGTTCCCTATTTAGAGGTAACAGTTTGTGTGTGGTTTCAACTCCACAGAAAAGCAATACCTCCTGTCACATGTACTCCACTGTTTTGTTCCAGCTTCAAGGCTTGCCTCATGGTTAGATATTTTTTCCAATCTTTTCATATGAAATTTTAAAAATATACAGATAAATTGGAAGAATTTATTAATGAACACCGATATACCCACCACCTAGATAGCATAGTTAATACGTGACCGTATCTGCTTAAATTACATATGTGGGGGGCTGTTTCCTATGATATTCGGTGGTGAGTGGGCATCGTGGCACTTCAGCACTGGGCACTGGAGCCCATGTTTCTTCAATGGAAGGGTCTCTGCCTTGTGCTGTGCTACCATCACTCCTGGGAGTATCACAGGCCTTGCAATATCAGATGTCCAGTCCAAGTCACATTTCTCCATAACTTCAAAAATGTCTTTTATAGCTTTTTAAAAACATCCAGTCAGGGTTCATGTGTTGCATTTGGCTGTTACATCTCTTCAGACTCCTTTGTTTGATATTTAATTCAGTGTTCCCAATTTTCCTCTGACCTTGTTTTTTTGTTGTTTTTTGTTTTTGTTTTTGTTTTGAAGAATGAGCAAGTCAGTTGTCCTACAGCCAGTCGTCTTAGGGGGCCAGACAGGAAGGATCCTCCATCATCTTATGGCTCATCTCTAGAATGTCCTGACTCCTTTCTCTCTCTTGAAGCCCAGGAATAGTTCTCTGCACAGGGTCCTAACCAGCCACAGCAATAGCATGTGTTTATCTCAGGATTCATCAAAGCACTTCTAAGGCCTTTTCTGAAACTACCCTGGTCCTCCCTTCCTGGGGGCTAGAGCAATCTCAGCTGAGATGGTGAATGGGCCAGGGAAAGTGAGAGAGCAGGGAGAACCCACAGAGCCCCTTTTGAGCCAGAGTCCTCAGAAGGGAGCCAGGAAGTTCAGTGTTAGGAGTAGGTTCCCAAACCAAAGGTAAAGTTGAGCCACTTTATCTTTTCTGTATCAAAACCACTTTTGGCTTCCCAGCCACTTGTAGCCTCAGTTCCCATTAAGAGTAAAGCATTCTGGAACCTCTTCTATATCCACCAAAGGCTCTTTATAAGATACAGAACTCTTAGCCGTGTTGAGCTTGAATTCTATAATCTGAAAACTACATCATGTCTCTCCCATTGCTTGGAACCTTGTCCTAGGCAGGCTTGTCATCTCAAAGACGGTTAGTTTACAGTTATGGGATGGGATTCGCTTTTTTTTTTTTTTTTGAGTTGGAGTCTCACTCTGTCG